CTGGCGGTCAGTTTCAGCAGCGGCTGAATCTGGACGCCAGTTCCGACTTACATACAGATTCAACTTAAGAACAAACCTACAGTCCCTATCTTGTACGTAACCCAGGGACTGCCTGTACTAATTTAGCTCTACTTGTGGGGGCCCTCTGAAGTTGGTTCAAATGACATTTTTAATGCTATGTCTCTTAACCCTGCTTAGAACAAATCTAATCAACACAATGTTAAAGGTGCCAGTAGTCCATGTAGGATGGGCACCTAACGGTGCTACCACTGGTATACCTGAAGTGATGCTCTCAGCAGGATATTTTCTGAAAATGTTCCTAAGGAGTCACATACATGCCTGCTGTAACTTTACAGACTTCAAGAAAGTTAATGCTTCTTTCACTACCTGTTTAAATGTGTCTCTACCCCCACTCCCTTTCTCCTTAAAAAACAAAAACAAAAAAATCCTCCAAACTTCCATAGAAGACCATATGCTAGCCATGTAGTGCTTCAATAGCCATAGCATAGAACACAAGACTATTTCTTCTGATATATAGTTTGTATTAATGAAATAGCATACTGTACCATGATCACAAGAGTTTGACATGTAAATCCATTTTACCTATTGACATAGTAGACCTTATTCCCAGATTAAAAGACAATGCTACCTCTGTCTCCACAGATGCACAGGTTGCCTCTACAATGGGACTGGGATGTAAATAGGTGTGTTTAGTGCTTTACAAAAGAGAGGAGATATTGTTCCTGTTTTGAGATTTTTACAATCTAGGCTACAGCACATATGACATTACTAACTGAGGGTATGTCTACACTACCCCCCTAGTTCGAACTAGGGGGGTAATGTATGCATACCAAACTTGCTAATGAAGCCCGGGATTTGAATTTCCCGGGCTTCATCAGCATAAAGCCGGCACCGCCATTTTTAAAAGCCGGCTAGTGCGAACCCCGTGCCGCGCGGCTACACGCGGCACGGACTAGATAGTTCGGATTAGGCTTCTATCTGTACGCCTCGTGGAAAGCTTAGCCCAAATTAAACACATCTGCGATTTACCATATATAATCTTATCACTAAAAGCACAGCATAAAAAATGAAATATTCTGGTTTGGGCCATGGAAATAAGACCATCTTCATTTAAAAATACACAACAAACTGGACAAACCCTGAAAGGGTCAAAAAGAACTAGGGTCAAAATTGAACAAAATCATGTTACTCCATGGAAATTTCTTTGAGATAGTTTCCACTTCTGACCAGGGCACGGATTCCCCAAGCTAGCATTTCAGTTCTCATCCTCTCAACCACACATCCCCATTTTAATGGCACATTGCAGAGAGATTTAAGTATTTCATATAATTTCCCTTTAATTCTGTTTTATGAGTACATGAATATGTAAAAGATTGCAGGAAAACTTTCAAAAGGTCCAAGGGGACTTGTGCACCTAAGTCAAAGTGACAGTTTAGTGATACACTTCTCAATGCCTTAGTCCCCTGAAAATGAAATTTAGATATTTTTGAAAATTTCACCCCAGGATTTTTCAATGTATTAATAACCAACATGTTAAAACCACCCTATCTCTGGCAACTAAATTTTCAGACAATAACACTTAAAACAACTCCATTTCAGTTTTGCTGCAAAAGAAATTTTTTTTTATTTTCCTACCTGAAAATCCATTTTGTGAGAAGAGTTTCCTTTAATTTGAAATGTGTGGGCATCTCTTTTTTCCCTACCTTCATTAATATGGGTGCATCAACCTGCTTATCAAAAGAACTCCCTGTTCAATGCATAAATATGGCAATCATGTTCACCAGTCCTCAAAAATATTACTTTTCTAGGCAGGAATGGAATTCTTCTGAGTGAAAGTGTCAACTCTAACCCTAACCCTCTCCCAGCAGTTGGTTAAAAAGATCTAGAAGGAAGTAGGGCTATGATGCACTATGTTTCAGGACAGCATGAAATAACATGCTCTTGTTCCAATAATGTCTCTGAGAAGGATGTTTCTAGTTGCCATTTTTTAAATCAACAATGGATTTGTATGTAAAGTGTAGAAATTGAGATGACACACACCTCACAGGTCAAAAAACTATCATGTGCTTGGCTAAGGACCAATATCATACTCCTTGTCAAGTTTTTATTGTGCAAATTTTATAGCCTATAAAAAACATTTAATTTTAAACAACTCGTACTTGGCCTTGTGGGACCTCATCCTTCTTGTCTCTGTCCATCATAGGTATAGGCTGAATACCTATCTTCTTCATTTCATCACCCTGAAGAGAAAAAGAAAAAGGGTCAAGTACTCCCTGAATAGCTAAGGACACTCGGAAGGAAAATCAGGATTTCTTAAATTGAAATATCGGTTGAACACAAATGTTCTATTTATATATTTACAATATTTAAACAAGCTTGAAGCCTATCGGTGCTATTAATCATTATAATAAAATAAAATTAATATAAATGCAATTTATATTTCTACATATATCAAATACTTCTATGTCTGTATTCTGTATTTTCAGAAATGGGGGGGGGAGGGTTAAATGCACAAAACTAAAGTGAAAATTGTTTCTATATTAATATTTTCTGAGCAAGTCCTTGAGGCTAAAGTGAAATTTGAGATTCATTAAAACATGAATCCTATACAGCTTTGAGTAACCTCTGTACTCTGGAATCTGGGACTCAGGTGGTCAGAACATTCAAAAATCAGCCAAAACATAGGGAAGTTGAGTAAGTGACACTGGCACTTTCAGTAAAATTTTTAGTTAATATCTGTTTTGTGGGAATTGATCCTTTGGCGAAGTGTCTGAGATGTTTGTCCAATGTACATAGCAGACGGACACTTTCGGCACATGAGTGCATACATTATATTTCTGGATGCACAGAAATATGTGTTCTTGATCTTATAACTCACTTGGTTGGGTCCAATAACGGTATAAAGTGAGTTATAAGATCAAGAACACATATTCCTGCGCATCCAGAAATATAATGTATGCAATCATGTGCCGAAAGTGTCCGTCTGCTATGTACATTGGACAAACATCTCAGACACTTCGCCAAAGGATCAATTCCCACAAAACAGATATTAACTAAAAATTTTACTGAAAGTGCCAGTGTCACTTACTCAACTTCCCTATGTTTTGGCTGATTTTTGAATGTTCTGACCACCTGAGTCCCAGATTCCAGAGTACAGAGGTTACTCAAAGCTGTATAGGATTCATGTTTTAATGAATCTCAAATTTCACTTTAGCCTCAAGGACTTGCTCAGAAAATATTAATATAGAAACAATTTTCACTTTAGTTTTGTGCATTTAACCCTCCCCCCCCCATTTCTGAAAATACAGAATACAGACATAGAAGTATTTGATATATGTAGAAATATAAATTGCATTTATATTAATTTTATTTTATTATAATGATTAATAGCACCGATAGGCTTCAAGCTTGTTTAAATATTGTAAATATATAAATAGAACATTTGTGTTCAACCGATAGCTATATATAGATATCTGAATCTATTTGATAGTTACATAAAGTAAAAAATATTTTAAACCTACTGGTATTATTAGTAACTTGTTTTCAATATCCTGAAAGTAGTTATTTATCTCATTTGCAGACTGCAAGGAGTGGCTTTTCCACTCAGCTGTTAGAGCCATACAGACAACAGCTAGATCCAGTACAAATTTACATGATTCTTGGGCTGTGTCTACACTGGCATGAATTTCTGGAAATGCTTAAAACGGAATACTATTCCGTTTTCAGTTTTTCCGGAAAAGGAGCGTCTACATTGGCAGGCTGCTTTTCCGGAAAAGCCCTTTTTCTGGAAAAGCGTCTGTGGCCAATGTAGACGTGCTTTTCCGGAAAAGACTACCGGGCTGTCTATACTGGCCCTTTTCCGGAACAGTGTTCCGGAATAAGGACTTATGCCCGAGCAGGAGCAGAATAGTTTTTCCGGAATAGCGGCTGATTTTGTACAGTAGAGCATCGTTGCTTTTCTGGAAATTCAAGGGCCAGTATAGACAGCTCGCAGCTTATTCCGGAAAAGCGGCTGATTTTCCGGAATAAGTGGCCCAGTGTAGACACAGCCTTGGAGTTTACCATTATTGATAACTTAAATAACAACAAAATATTTGGCTGTTGTTACGGTTTTCCATGGGAGATACCTCTGTACCTGCCTCAAGTTTCCTCTGCTCCTGAGGTAGAGCTTGTAGCACCTGCCTGTAGTGTCTGCTTGGATAGATTGTCACACCAGAATACACCTCTTATGTATTCCTGACAAGTGATCTAGTTATTCTTTTCTGAAGAGTGATCTAGTAAAATAAACATGGAGCCCCACAATATTGTCAATAGTTTCCAAAGAAAATTTCCTCCATTTACAAGTAGAAGTGTTTCTCTCAGACCTATCTTGAGATTAGAGTATGGAGTTAAAGTTTTGCCCCCTGGAATATCCTCACTAGTCTTAAACACTGCAGGGCAATTTTTGACCATAATCACACCAATATTACTCATAAGAAGAACTCATCTGGAAGTTACAAGTCTTTATATTTGTAAGCAAAATATGGTATGTAGTAAATAATGCTATTGAAAATTGTTCTAGATCAATCTAACATTGTGTTCCCCTCTCTCATTTATCTAGGTATTTTCTGTATGTAGAGCAAATGTTAGAGAAATATGCATACCTCAGCCCAGAACTCTGCATATATATCATTAGCTGTCAATCTGGTAACTGACCACAATTTTGTTACAGAACAAAGATCACAAGCTGTCATCATCAGACCAATCACACGATCCCTAGAATACAGAATATGAAATCTGTTATTTAGATAAAGCTTTATGTTATTGTGTTTTGAAGCTTTTTAGGTGTTCTGTCATATATACATCCAGCAAAAACCAAAAAGTACAAATGCTACAAAATATCTCCCACACAAATCCATCCTCCCCCTGTGATATTAGCCTATTGATAATTCAGTACATGAATCATATTAGCAACATATCACTTTTATTAAGTTCAGTAGCTTATATTATTGAAATAAGGCTTATTCAAAAGCATCTAGGTGAAAAAATTAAGTCAAATGGCTGACCCAAACAACTGTTAATAAATACAGTGTTTCAAGTAAGTTCATGCTATAACTGACTTATAGGATACATTATCCACTCTTGAGAATTATGTCCTGAGTGTGATTTATACGATCCTGGTCTATTTTTAACATGTACTAGTACTAAATTAGAATTTTGTCTGGATTAATAATCTGTACTTTTATTATAAGAGATTAATTTAGTGTCATATATAAAACATGTAGAAATATTAAAATTAAAATATTGTATAATTATGCAGAGCTAGAAACATTACGTAATTCATGGATAATACGTGGTCAGGTATTCTCATTTTTAAGCAGTAATATACATGCCTAACTCTAGTTGGGGAAGTTTAGCCCAGAACTCATTTTCTATGGTTATTTTACATAATGGCATATCTAATCTTGGAAATTTATCAAACTATCTATTTTGGAATAATTATTTCAGAATAGCTATTTTGATAAATTTCCAAACCCTAAGAAGGACTTTTTAGTTCTTAGAACTCTTAGGTTTGCCATCAGGAGGCAAACCTAATCCTAACATCACTTTCATTGCTTTCAGAGTGGGCTTGGGACCAGCTGTCTGCTGCTCACTGGTGGAAAGAATACATGCTGGAGCTTGAGTGAACAGCTTTCTCTTTCCTGAGTAAAAAAAGGGCCAAGCCTAAGTCCAGCATAAGCAGGCAGGCATCTTGGGTCAATTAGAACTTGCCAGAAGCTACAGACTGATTAGTCACCTGCAGCCAATTAAGGCCTGTAGTACTGCTTTAAAAGGGCTCCCCCAGGCAAGGAAGGAAAAGAGTGAAGGACTGGAAGTGCTGTGTGGGTGGGAGTGGAGGATTGACAAGTAGGTACCAAAGGAAAGGTACTGGGAGGGATTGTTTGGGGAAGTGGCCCAAGGAAAAGCTGACAGATTGAGAGTGGCAGTAATCCTACCTGTTGGCGCTGCCTTGGGGTCCCTGGGCTGCAACCCGAAGTAGTGGATGGGCTTGGGTTCCTCCCAACCTCCCCAAATCTCAACCTCTGCCTCGAGAAGGGAGATCAGAACTCCAGAAGGGATTTTACCCCAAACTTCTGAACTAGCCTGTGATGAGTAAAAGGCTGTATTGGAGGGCCACACTGAGTCTCTGAGGCTAACACTATCTAGCAGTAGTGCAAGACCCCGCGGGAATAGCTGGAGCTTTGCCATAAAATAAAATATTCTCAAGTCAAATGTACAATTCCAGCATCTATCCTTAATTACAAATGCACAAATAGCTACTGTATTTTAAAAAACCTTAAAAGGACGACATATAGACATATTCCATCCCTCCAAACCCTGACAAAATTTTTCAAAATGATTAAAAGGGTTTCCTGCAGAAAAGCCGAACATTTGACCAGTTTTCAGTCCCTTTTTTATGTCTTAAACTGGGAAAAGCTGGTACTTAAATGGAAAACACTCAAACAAGCTTCCTGCCTATGTAAAGAATAAAAATATTTTCCCCTTGGCTATTTTGGAGGATTTCTTATAGTGACTAGCATTATAGTATCTTGAAGCTCAGAGAAGGCAATGTTATAAACCAAAAAAGATGAACTAAGAATTTGAAATACCTTGAATTAACTCTTTGAATTAATTTAGGGTAACTATTTAGAATCTGAGATACTAGGAGAAAGTAAAGAGTAAATATTTAAATACCTTTTTACATGTCACAAAAATGCTGCGTGTTCATATTGTAGATAAGTAATGTTCATTTTGGCTATGTCTAGACTACAGAGTTTTTCTGGGATACCAGAGATAACCCGGAAAAACTTTGTAGCATCCAGGAAATGCATCTGCTCTTCTGACATTTTTTGCAGAAGAGCAGACATGTTCTTTCGGAAGCCCCCGTATTCCTCTTTTCACAAGGTATACCTAAAGAGGAGGTTTTTCCTAAACTTGGCCCAGTGTAGATGGGCCAAATTTCAGAAATACCTCTTCCTAAAAAGCAATCAGAAAAAGTTACACAAATTGTGGAGCGCTATTTGCATACCTTTTTCCTATAAAACGCCGTAGTCTAGATGTAACCATCTTAGTCTTTTTCAGCAAAAACAACAAGGAGTCCTGTGGTACCTTAAAGACAAGCAAATTTATTTGGACATAAGCTTTCATGGGCTGGAGCCCACTTCATCAGATTCAACTGATGAAGTTGGCTCCAACCCACAGAAAGTTATGCTCAAATACATTTATTAATCTAAGGTGCCACCGGATTCCTCGTTGTTCATTCTGTTGAATCCTCTCATATATGATTAAAAATAATGAAAAAACTGAGTCCATCCTATTTTATTTTATCCAGATGTTGTAAATTTCACCGGTTAATGCAAAATTATTTTGCTTATCTATTTCTGAGTTTAGTTATGTTGAAAGGTACATCTGGCTCTTTCATGTTTCATTTGACCAAATTCTGAAGCACTTGGCTCCATTTCCCCCTGTATTTGATATATTAATATGGTATAACAGTAGTGCTTAGATTTTCATTTTGACAGGGATAAAAACATTCCATACAATGTGTTTTACATGCTCAAAAGACATATATACCTAGGGACCTCAGCAATCTTTTAAAGCAAAATGAATGGACTGTGTGGCATTCAGATGTGTCAATTTGTTGGTAAAAGAGAGTATAAGATCACCATGAAGGTCTGGCATGACAGCAAGCTGGATGAAGCTGAGGTATGTATTGCTTTTCAGGATGTGCTGGAGATAGAATAAATGCCTTACAGAATGTGGTGTAGGTTATGTGAAGATGGAAAAGAGACTGGAGACCTGTCCCTTACTTAGTGTCAGAGTTTGAAAATAATGCCCCCATATTTTATGGAAAGATGGTTTTGAATATATATATATGCATAAGTCGAACATGCTTTATGCAAAACAGATCAAGCAATCTATCATTCAAGAGTCTGATCCCCTGAATGTGTAGATTCTTTTTTACACATGTGAAGTTAGAAATATGAAATGTAAGCCTGCTTATTAATCTAGAATTTGTAGTAACACTCCTTAGTGGTACTTATGGGCTTAATGGCCCAGTGTTCAAGGTAACGATCTGTAAATGGGTTTGTTTTCCCTGTAAGCCCAAACAGAGATTGGTCCTATAAAGACCTGTGATCATGCCACCTGATGCTGGAATCCATTTTGAATCTGGTATTTTCCATGGGGATGGAGAGAGAAAACAAAGGGTACCGCCCATTTAAGGAAGCAATCAAAGTTGTCTTCAGCTTGGCTTTTGAAAATTGCCTCCCTATCCTAAGGGACTAGGCAAGGATTTCTTAGATCCAAGCCAGAGAAAGGATTAGCTGTAACTTGAAAGAATTTATCTGGAACAAGTGGAGGGGTGAGAAATATATTTCAAAATAGGATTTAAATGATTGCAAGTGAAAACAGACAGATGAAAGTGAGTTACTAAGCCAAAAGAAACAAAACATGACAATTATGCCTAATGCACTGAGGGCATGTCTACACTACCACCCTAGTTCAAACTAGGGTGGTTAATGTAGTCAATTGAAGTTGCAAATGAAACCCGGGATTTAAATATCCCGGGCTTCATTTGCATCTTGCCGGGCGTCGCCATTTTTAAATCCATGGTAGTTCGGACTCCGTGCCCGCGGCTACACGCGGCACGGAGTAGGTAGTTCGAATTAGGCTAATTCGAACTACCGTTACTCCTTGTTCCACGTGGAAAACCTTATTCGAACTACCTACTCCGTGCCGCGTGTAGCCGCAGGCACGGAGTCCGAACTACTGGGGCTTTAAAAATGGCGGCGCCCGGCAATATGCAAATGAAGCCCGGGATATTTAAATCCCGGGTTTCATTTGCAACTTCAATTGACTACATTAACCACCCTAGTTTGAACTAGGGTGGTAGTGTAGACATGCCCTCAGTGCATTAGGCATAATTGTCATGTTTTGTTTCTTTTGGCTTAGTAACTCACTTTCATCTGTCTGTTTTCACTTGCAATCATTTAAATCCTATTTTTATACTTAATAAAACACTTCTGTTTATTATAAAGCCCATAAATAACTGTTAGCTGGAGGGAGCTACAGCTGTGCATCTCTCTCTTTCATTGATAAAGTAGGTGAACATCTTTATGAACTTTCTCTGTGTAAAACTTGTATACAGCGTAAGATGGATTTTTTTGGGATGTCGGTCCTTTTTGAGGGTTGTGTTCCTAGGTGTTGGTAAGTCCCTGTAGCTAAACTGATTCAGCATCTGTGTGGCTCTGCTAAGGTAACTGTTACCTCAACTCTGCCCGGGCTGGGGGAGACCAGAGCTTCTGGCCCAGCAGGACAGGGTGATGGGGCACCCCAGAGGGCAGGTAGGTGGGCTCAATGGTATTTGTTAGAAAAGAAACAGGTGACCCAGGAGCAGATTGGGTAAACAGAACTGCTTTATTGCCCATGCACGTTAACCTCAGACCACCAACACATTGTTCCGAGTGGCAACAATTATACCCTTTTATCTATTTTAGCATGTTAATTCACACATCTTTCACTACTTTCCCTAAAACCTTATTTAGTAATGTTAACTCCTACACAATGAATATTAACAGGTGATGAATACAATTATACCCGCTTCTATTTGTTATTTGTTGTTTACCATTACATACTCTTTTAATCAGCAGCTTGTAGGAAGGAGGAAAGTGCTTTGATTCTGAAAATGTTTTTACAGAACAAGTGCAAAGACAAAACAAGACAATGTTCAGTGCAACCATCTTCCAAGGCTGTCAGGACAAAGGGGAAAATATGTTTAAAGAGCAATGGCAATTTTGGCTAGACTCCTTAACCACTAATGTATAGCCAACCCCAGACCCCTATTAATTTTTACATATCCCAACAGGTATGATCTGCAGACTGGGTGACAGCCTTAAGGGAACCTCTGTAATCCAAGTCACCACACATACTTTCAAGGATTTAGGTAGTTGAGGTGAATCCTGGTACAACTTTCACCGTCATGACACTCAGGTTCTCTTTATGCATACATCCAAGTGGGAGTGCATGTTATAAAATCTAATGTTTCTGGGTTTTAAATCTCAAGGATAAGAGGGTAGATTTTTCAACCAGTATAATTCTACTGATGTCAAAGCAGCTACTCATTATTTATACTGCTGTGGAAGGAGAATCAGGCCATAGGGCTAAAAGTATTTTTATATTGTCTGTATGACTAGGTAATCAATGTTAAAAGGATTAATTGATTAACTGGAGTTGGCTCGGACACTTAGGCCCTGATCCTGCAATCACTTATGCATAGGCATAATTTCACAACTATGCCTAATCCCCATGAAGTCAATGAGGCAGGTGTAAAGATAAGCAAGTGTAAAGATAAGTAAATTGCAGGATTGAGGCCTGAGTTACCAATGAACTCCTCAACAGGCACAGTTTGAAGGCAATGAAGTGTCAGTGTGATAGATTTAAACAAAGCATATGAACCCTGTAAATTGCCTTTGTAATATGGTATTTATGCATGTATATTTGGGCTTACAGCTTTCTCTGCGTGAAGATGACATTGTGTGAATGACAAAAATTCTTATATGAATTCTTCTTTGATGTCATTTGCAAAAACAAGTTTGTTTCTTAAGTTATGAATGTTTGCTTTACCTATGTGCTTGGTTTTTAAGGTTTAAGGCTCCTGTCTGATGCAGTTCTTCCAGCTGTTTTCTGTTTCCAAAGTACAGGGCAAGGTCTGTGGCAATGATGGCTTTGCGGATGATCTCTAGGACCTGCTCATACTCGCTGGAGCTCAGTTTGGAGAAGATATTGTGCCCTTCCAGCTATGAAAAAATAAAACCAATAAAAAGCACAAGCTCTAATTTTGAGATGATTCCTATATTTATCAGTTTACACAGCTTTACAGTCCACTAGGGATGTTTGCATTTTATAAATGAAAACATGAACAGCATGAAACATGCTTTTATAGTTTCTTTTTAAAAGATTAACATGAAGCTGTTGCTATGATTGAGTTGCTGATGTATGCTTGAGACTCAAACATATGCATAATTTAAACACCCTCTTTTCATAATACTCAGTTAGTATATCCTACCAAGATTAGCTCCAGCTATAGTCATTAAAAAACAAATCTTATTTTTGCACTAAGCTGATGGCACTCAGAACCTCTCAGAATCTGGACTAACTTTAGTTTCTTTCTTTTCCACACTCCTCTCTCCTTTCAAATGGAGAAAACTCTCTGAAGGTAGAAGAAATTACTAGGCAGAAATATATTTTAACAAAAAATTTCCTAACAGTTCGGCAAAGCACTCCCAGTTAGGGGTATGTCTACAGCAGGGTGAAAGCTGAATTAAGCTATGCAACTTCAGCTACGTCAATTGCGTCACTTAAGTCAAAATAACTTAACTCGGCTTTAGGCACTGTCTACTCAGCAGGACTCCAGCTCGACAATATTTCGAAATAAAGGCATGTGTAGTGTAGACATGCTCTTTGTTATTTTGGAACAATGTCAGTTATTCCAAAATAACGCTGCTATGTAGACATACTCAAGGGTTCCGAACCTGATCCAGAGTGCGGAGCTGCCACTAGACAACTGTCTTGGGATATCTTCCTGAAAGTAACAGGAGTGTAGTTATAGTGCCCAGTGTATGCACAATATTTTTAAACTAGCCAATTAGCCCGTCATAAGACGGGATTTTCAGGTCTCTCCTCCATGTCGGTCTTCTCTCCTGTTACATTCCAGCTCTGCCTTCTCTGTGATATTTTTATACCCACTGCCTCTTCTTGTTGTCCCCTCCCTTTTTTTTCTCCCCCCACCAGCTTCTCGCCTATTTATTTTAGTTCTGGACATCCAGCACTGGTCATCTAAAGAAGTGGGCTGTGCCCACAAAAGCTCATGATACCATCTACTTGTTTTGTAAGTCTTTAAAATGCTACCAGACCATTTGTTGTTTTTTAAGTCTAACTTTTTTTCCCTCAGGCTTGTAAAAAAATCTGATTAATCAGATCCCTTTGAAATTTGGTGTGCCTCAAATGTAGTGACCCAAAGTTGGGGCTATTTCAGCTATAGATTTCAGAGATATAAGACCAAATTAATCATTTTTCAAACAAAATTGTAGGTTTTCATTTGTATCACTGACGATCTTACATGAGATCGTCAGTGTTTTTCTGGAAATTCAAGCAGCCAGTGTAGACAGCTGGCAAGTTTTTCCGCAAAATAGGTTGGTTTGGGGAAAAAACTTGCCAGTCTAGACACAGCCCCCGTGCTGAATGGGGAGCGCGGAGCCCAAACGGTCGCTTGCGCCACTTGCTCCCACGCGGCAGCCTGGTTGAGCAGCACAGAACTCAGCCGAGCACCACGGCGGGAGGTGAAGGGGGGCGGGGCGGTGATGTTCACAGCCAGGGGGTGGGTCCTGGAGCCGCTGTCACGCCTCACATCACCGCCCCAGCAACAGCGCCGCCCAGATGGAACAGCCAGCATTTCAGGCAACAGCGCCGCCCAGATGGAACAGCCAGCATTTCAGGCAACAGCGCCGCCCAGATGGAACAGCCAGCATTTCAGGCAACAGCGCCGCCCAGATGGAACAGCCAGCATTTCAGGCAACAGCGCCGCCCAGAGGGAGCAGCCAGCATTTCAGCGTTACAGACTCTCAGACATTGGGCTATTATATATATGATGGGTAAAGAAATATCTAGTTATTGTAATAAGGTTATTGCAATTTGACTAAAATGCCATACATGAAATGTAATTAATATTCATTAGCAGAAGCAATTTACTCTGTAGAAATGAAGTTAGTTACAGTGCTTTCATGCATGCTATGTTTAGGGAAAGGCAGCTTTGTTTAAAAATGAGCTGTCTGACCTATAGCGAATATGTCTTGCACCATGGAGCCTAAGGCAACACGTGCTTCATGTCCTTTCCATTTTGCTATTTTAAATCATTTGTAATGGACAATATATGGTGATTGCTGTTGAAAGCATCACCATAGCTAGAAAACTCTGCACTATCCAATATTTCTCTGCTTTAGGAAACAACCAATTAAAGGTCTTGTTAAAGCCCCAAGGAGGCAAGAAATTAAAAGGCTGACCACCCAAATCAAGGTGCATAAATTCACAAACAGAAAACATTAAAAATACATTAAACCCGCATACACCTCATCATTTCACTCCAACTTCTGCAGAACATAACCAAAAGTCTCTCCACCTTTTGTCAAATGTTTTCCATAGGGAGAAATTTTTCTAAAACAATTTCTTATTGGTCCAAACAGGGCTGTTTTTGCCTGTCACCAGCAAAGTGATCTTTATATGGCAACATTTTTGCTTGGATAAAATGGCTTTATTGTGAATAATGGAAAGAAAATAAAACAAATGTGTGTCGCACTGTAACTTTGACAATGTCCCAAGTCATGGTACAGAATGTTTTAAGAAACTCATTTTAATTCATCATCAGCACTCTGGTGCCAGACAGGGTTTAGTAGTAGTTCTTCTAGTTTGGATTTTTAGCATTGATTTTTTTTTCCTTTTCTTGCTGCACGGTCACCATTAATATGCTCCATTTTCTGTTAAGGCTATGCAAAGGCATAGCACCTAAGATATGCAGCTGTCTCTTTCATGACTTCAGAAGTTACAATTTCAGGAACATTAACATGACCAGATGGTCATGAATGTTTCTGCACCCAAGATTAACCTACTGTAATTGGCTGGTTGATTATGTACTAATGGAAGTTGCCATTTTGAATATGCCACTTAGGTTGCTGACCACTGTGTGAAATGCACACCTGCCGATAAAATTTTATCCTTTCCATGATCACTTAAAAGTGATAAATGGAATCCACTGTATTTATACAAAATAAGTTGGGCTTTCAATTAATTGCAGTTAGCTTGAGCGATTAATGCAAAACAAATTAAGTAGATTTTTTAAATGCTGCCTACTTCTTATTTGTCATAAAAAATCATCATGTAAGTGAGTACTCTATACTTTGTATTCTCTGTTATAATTGAAGAAATCAACAAATTTGAAAATGTAGAAAAATGTCCACAATATTTACAATACAGTTCATCTGGTATTCTTTTATTGTTTAACCATGTGATTAAAACTGTGATTAACTGTGACTTTTTAAAAATCTCGTGATTAATTGCGATATTTTTTAAATCGCTTGACAGCCCTAAAAATAGATATGTCAAAAACGTATGTTTATGGTGATCGAAACAAGTAACAAAGTTTTAATTAATGTAACATTTTTACTATTTATTCTACTGACACACAAGCCAGATCACCTAATTCTTGTTGGTGCTAATCTAAAAAGATTCCCTAATCCTGGGGCCATGCAGTCTCTGGTGCAACACAGAAGCAACCTGAAGGCTTCTTTATATGACAAATGACCACAAATGACCCCAAGTGACCACTTTGGCTGGCAGTATTTTTTTAACTTCCACAGTACTATCCTGGCCATGCCCTATTTCCCAAACACTACCCTGCACCCAACTGCCAGGGTTAGGAGGCAGCACAGAAGCAGCTATTGTGGATCTATACAATTCAGGGATCCCACCACATAGGGGATCCCACCACATATGCAAACAGGCCATTACAGCCTGATTTAAGTGTGCTCTGCGTTGCCAGAGGGACAAAAGTCTTAATAACACAGAGTTTCTTGCTCACTGTATATAAACTCATTTGAAATAAATACTAAAAATATAATGCCATACTAACAGTGAGGGACTCATTTACACTCTCCTAAATGAAAGGGTTAAGGCCAGCACTCTGTGAAGGTTTCCATGTAGATGATTCCTAAAAATATGAACAAATGTGATAGAGAACACATGGTTTTACTGATAGCTGATAAAACAGTTAAAAAATATATGCTCCCCTTCAAAGACCAAGAGGAAAAAGTTAGCAAGGGATTAGAGAGACAATACCATGATAAGAGAGTGTATAAGGAACATGCATACCAAAATAAAAAGCTGTGAGCACGGATATCATATGTAATGGAACGGGAGCTATTTTTGTAGCTATGAGGTCTCTCCCTTTCAAATTCAACTTCAATTTATTTTTAACAAATGACAAATTATCCGTGTGTTATGACTAATCTTAACTTTCCTGAAACCGGTTAGCATGCTTTGTGGTAGGTTTCTATTAACTCAATACACAATGGCATTCATTCATAATATGGAGCCATTGGCATGCAAAATTTAATACTTTAGATATTTTTAAATCGCTGAAGAAGAAAGCATATGAAAACAAATGATTATATCCATATTCCCATGCACGTCAAAAAATTACATTCGCTCCCAGGTAAAAGGATGCATGCACATTTAGAACCATACATTTAATTGTCCCGGGAATTTATTACAGCAGAATGATATAACTCTTAAATATACTGAAATAAAAAGAGTAATATTGCAGCACTGTTGCCAATAATTGTGATTTTATTGTAAGTCCCAAATTTGGTCATTTTAGGTATGTCTACACTGCAATCTAAGGTGTGATTACAGCTTAGGTAGGTGTACCTGTTCCAGAATGGCTTAAAACAGTAGAGTAGGTACAGCAGTGTAGAGTTTAGTGTGACATGGACAGACACTCCAGGGATCCTGGGTAACTACTTGAGTTGCTAGTCCACAGTGAAGTCCATAGCGTGGCATCTACCTGCCATTTTAGCCATGTTAGTGTGGGTAAAGCTAACATAAGTCTATCTGAGTTGCAGCCATATCTCAGATTGTAGTGTAGGGCTATTTTTCTTGAAACATCAGCTGCTGTAATCATCTGACTATATGGGAATCTCAGTTTGTATTTAAAAACAAGTTAATTTTCTGAGTCTTAACTGCTAAAAAAAGAAAAGCACCAAAACATGATCCAAATACAGCCTAAAAGCTCAGAAACATGATGGCACATAAAAAAAAAACCTGTATATGTTTTTAAATCTCAAGGGTTTTATGGAAATCTCAAGATTCTGGGGAGGGATATGTTTACTCCTGATTTATTAACAAGTATGATTGACAATAGTGGAATATAGGTTTGCTGTAATAAACCATGACAACACCCCTTGCATATATTTAGACTAACACACACTACAAATCTATTAATGGAATTAAACATGCTTAAAATAGCTATCAAGAAATGCTGAGTCTATTACATTCACAACTTTAAGCCAAACGCCAGTGCATTCAATAATCCTACCTGCAGGATGGCCACTGTCTGGGAGAAGTGGTGTTGTTCCATAGTTGAGGTGGAATAAAGAGCTGCCAGAGGGTGATCAAATTTCTGAAGGTAGCTGTTGCTGTAACCCCTGTGATCCAGGTCATGACACAAGCATGCAATTAGGAGACCTTTTCGCTAAAGAAATGTATGAGGCAAACAAAAAGAAAACATAAGAAGAGAGGCATTTCACTTTAAACTCTTTAAACATTGGACAGCCATTTTACAAAGTATAATTAAAAAGAAACCAAATGGCAGTTTTTTTACTCCCTGCAATGGATTTTTGATGCTCTGTGCATCTGGTGGATCACTGCAAGACTATAGCACGTTTCTGAAAAGATCTATTTTTATCATAGAAGTTAAATGGGGTATAAATATATCTGGCCAAATTGTTCTCATTAGATCCATGAACTGATTTTTTCGCACATGTGTGTGTGTATCAGCTTCCTGCACCCAGATCCACTGAGGGGTTTCCAGAGATCCAGCAGTCTGTGTGGGAGGAAAATGAAAGAGTCACCCAGTTCACATCTATTAATTATATACAGGCTGAGGCGGTCTTCATTGGATAGTTTAAACCCTTCTGGGTTGGAGAACTGTCCTTTAAAGTAGAACTAGGGGAGAGAAATTCCGACATTCTGGGTTAGTCTAGGAGAGAATCAGGAAGTCCAAAAGCAAGTGCAGATAGTTACCGAGAGGCAACCAACTGCTTCTTCAGTTCCAAATGAAAAGATATGGATAAATTTCAGGAGGGGGACTTTGTAGAATTACAGAATACCCTTACATATTCCAAAGGAAGAGTAGCTGGGCCCATTTTAGTTAGATGTTTATATATGATCATGTGTCCTTGAAGTGATCAATATTTATTTAACAGTAACAAACTAACCTTGTTTTGGTTTTTATCATCACATTTAAAAATATTGATATGACTGTTCTTAAATTACAGGAAAACAAAACAAGGAAGCTAATTAGTCTTAGATTATTTTTCTCTACAAGTTGTGCAATAATAATACATAGGATTACATTTTTATACTGCGGACTCCCTCTCTACCATATAGAGAAATTACATTTGAGTGGCTTTTAATTTAATTTTTTTTAATCTGAACACCAATGTCATCTTCTGGGTGAAATTCAGATTGGAAGAGTTGTGTCATCTTTTATTTTGTGATCTGGAGTGCCTCCTCATACCCTGTTGCTGTAGCTCTCTGCCTGGGACATCCACAATCAATAACAACCATGAACTCTATGTCTACAGATCAGGAAGGGATGGTATCTGTAGCCTCTGTTTGCCAGGAGCTGGGAATGGGCAACAGGGGATGGATTACTTGTTGTTTACCTCCCTTTGGGGCACCTCACATTAGCCACTGCCAGAAGAAAGGATACTGGAATAGAAAGACCTTTGGTCTGACCTAGTATGGCCATCTTATTTTACATAATGCTTTGGATCCTGTAGACTGACTGCAATACCACAAACTTCCACTGCTCGTTGGTTAATGATCGATGAGGTGATGCCACACTCTCCCACTATAGCCCCGAATTTTCCCCAAAATGTGATCTGAACAGTCTTGACCTGTCCTAGAACAATCACAAGAATATTAAGGTTTGTTGGTCCTTTAAAGGATGACGATCCAACAGTTGTTACTTTGAATTAAACTGTTTGAATAGTACAGGATTGGTTCAAATTAAAATCAAAGCAGTTTTCATCACTCCAAAGAGAGATTTTAAGTAACTACAAGTATAAGGATTAAAGCCAGACATGGTGACAAGATAAAATGATTTCTAGTAATTAAAGTTTAACAAGCTAGACTTGATTCAAAGTAAAATCCTCACCAAACCTTTTCATTAAGATAGCTGACCAACCTCTTTGGTGAGGACCTATCCCCCAAAGTCAAATGGCTGTACCTTTGTATTCTTAATAACTATTTTCTGTCATAAATTGCAACATAAAAGGAGATAAGGGCAGATGTAGATGGGGAAGGGCACAGCTGAGAAAGGTCTTGAAGGATGAAAATTTTATTATATATGCTATGTGCTTTCCAAACACAGAGCACTAGAGAATCTATGCAGTCAATAGAACATAATTTGACTACTGAGGATATTCTGAACTCTTTGTTTCCTATGGTACCAGGAAATTAAAACAAATAGTAAAAGATTTTCACCATATAAATAAAAAGAGAACAAGAAAATATCTGGGGCCATTTTGCAGTGAGGATGGGGTAGAGATAAAGGATTATCTAAATATGGCGCAAAAGCTAAATGGATATTTTGTCCATTTTCAGTACGGATGCTAATGTAGAATATGGAGGCAAAGGCAGGATGGAAGTGAGTAAACAGAAATGGAAATTTAAACCATATGTCCCTGTCATAGTGATTGGGCTCCATCCCCAAATATGGAAAGAATAATTTGGCACATAATGTTTTAAGTCTGGTAGCAAGGATTTTAATAAATCTGTCAAATTTCAGATAGTAGTACCATGTGACGGGAAAAGAGCAAATGTAACACCTATATTTAAGAAAGGAAACTAAGTGATCTGGACAACTGCAAGCCCATTAGTCTGACTTCAATAGTGTGCAAGGCTTTAGAACAAATGTTGAAGGAAAAAATAATTAAAGGTATGGTAGGAAATGAAAAACAGGATGCATTGCAACATGGATTTACCAAAGGTAAGGCACGCCAAACTAAGCAAATATCTTTCTTTGATAACAGATGTCTTAAAGAATGGAAATGCAGTAGACCTAATCTGTCTGGAGCTCAGTAAAGCATTTGATACATATCACATGAAAAATTATTAAACTGGAGAAGATGGGGATTAGCATAAGAACAGAGATGGTGCATCTACACAGCACCCTTACCTCGAAATAAGCTACGCAATTTACGCTACACAAATTGCATAGCTTATTTTGAGGCAATAGCTTATTTTGAAATTTGGTGCTGTCTACACAGCACCAAATTTTGAAATAAGGCGCTATTCCTAAAGGTCCCTTAACCCTCGTGCAATGAGGCTTATCGGGATATCAGAATAGTGAGCCCATTATATTTTGATATAATGGGCTTGCTCTTAAGACACAGAATAGCTGTAGACTGAGATGGGTAAGAATTTGGCTAAAGAGGACCAAAAGCAGAACCACTGAGCTGGATAGAGGTTACTCATGGAAATGCTCAAGAACTGGTCTTGGGGCATACCTTGGATAACATTGTTATTAATGACCATAGCAAAAAAGTAGGAATGTATGAAAAAAATTGCTGATGACACAAAGTTGGGAGGCACTATCAATCCAAAGGAAGAATGGAACATTACATGGGAAGAACTGGATGACCTTGAGGACTGCAGTAACAGAAATTGGATAAAATGCAAGAATAAAAATTGCAGAGTCATGTGCTAAGGGACAAATAACTAGAATTTCTGTTAAGTGCATTAGTCAACTGCATAATGATTATAAGCCATCAATGTAATAGGGCAATGAAAGAGGCTAAGGCAATTCTAGAATGTAACAGGTGATATATTTCTAGCAGAGATAAGTGAAACACATTTTTCATGTCTAAATATTAATGAAATCATAGCAGAATTTGTGGATGCTTTCTTGATCCATTGATAGCTTCCAGCACTCAGCCACTGACATTCCAAGGTGCCACATGCCAATTATCCACCTCTTTGCTGGTTGTCCCCTACTGCAATGACCTGCCACTACTCCTTCCGTAATAACTTTCTCAAGGTTATTTTCATCTCTATACCCAATAAGAACAAAATACATAAGCTTGCACCTGTTGATATCCAACAGGTCTGCTTTTCTCCAACAAGGAAATGTCATCAAAAGGTGGAAGAGTTAAAGCACGGTGGGAAGGAAACTGGAATCCACCCTTTGTACTTTGTCCACCAAGAAGTATCCAGTAGATATAAGAGAAGTGTTAGTGCCACACTGTACAAGACACTGTTAAGACCTCATCTAAAATACCCATGTTCTGATTGCCCATGTTGAACAAAGATTAACTTAAACTGGAACGGGTGCAGAGAAGGACTAATAGGATGACTGGGAATCAGCGGCGGATATAGGGCAGGGCAAGCGGGGCGGCTGCCCCGGGCCACGCGCTTCAATAGGCCCTGCGCCAGCGCCGGGGGGGACTGGCCCAGCAGGATACCGGGAATTTCCTGGTGGGCCGTCCACCGAAGGGCCAGCTGGCGGCTGCTGGAGGAGGCGGGGGATTGTGGCAGGGCACCGCAGCCCCGCACTTTTGAAATTCCTCGGAGCCAGTCAGTACGGGCCTTGTGGGGCCGAGGGACTGCATGAGCAGCATGCTGAAACGCCGCGCAACAGCTGAGAGGGGAGATGGAGCAAGGCATGTGTGAAAGCATGGGGGCAGAGAGTGGTGAGGGGGTGGACATCAGAGAAAAACAGGGCAAAGGGCGCAGGGGCAGTGAGGGAAGGGGGAGGCACCAGGAGGGTGCAGGGGTAAGGGAAGGTGCAGGTGCCAGGGGATTCTGGGGGTGAAGCAGAAGGGCAGCCACCTGCAGGGGAGGGACCAGCACCAGAGGAGAGAGAGAGGGCAGGTGTGTAGAGGGAGGTGTTAGGAGAGGGGATGAGGAAGGGGTAGCTCACATGATCAGTGTGGGGCTACTGGAGGAGTGGACATGGGGGGGCCCTTTTTTCTGTTTTTTCTCCAAAGAGGGGGTCCCGCGATATTGTGCTGCCCTAAGCCCCGCAAAACTCATCTGCCCCTGCTGGGAATAGAGTCCATCTTACGTGAGAAGATTAAAAGAGCTTGTATTGTTTAGTTCAGCAAAAAGAAGGATGAGAGGGGATATGATTGCTCACTGTAAATACATCTAGGAGGCAGGCACCCGGAAGGGAGAAGAGCTATTTAAGCTAACGGATAATGTTGACACAAGAACAAGAGGTCCCTAATTTGGAATCAGTTTTTCTTTTTACACTGTTAACCAAAATACCACCCAATTTAAATGTTATATTTTGGGCAAAGAACTTTTCTCTGAGACCAAATTATTTCTGTCAAAGTTATAAGAGGCTGAAAAAGAGATTTATACTAGAGAACAAACAAACAGTAAAGAAACCCAACTGCTCCCCAAGAAATCCCCACAGCAGCCAAGACACATTTTTTATTTCGATCCCTAGAATTGCTGTCTTGATTATGGAAGAATTCCTATCTTAAAAAATACATTCTCAAATCTTGTATTTTATGGATTCCATCTAACTCTATTGTTGTGCTAAAAAAAGAAGGGGGGGGGGGCTACTCACCTTCCATAACTGTTCTTCAAGACATGTTGCTCATATCTATTTCAATCAGGTGTGCACAGCTGTCAGAAAAAAATTACTCTAGCACAGGGATGGGCAAGAGGCTGCCAGGGGGCCAGATCCAGCCCACCAAGGCACCGGATTTGGACCGCAGCTGCCTCACCAGAACCCTTAAGTAGAGAGCAACTCACATTTTTTAAAAAGCCAGCTGCCCTCAGCTCTGGATGGTTGGGGAGGGAGGAGGGAGTCTTCGCATGCTGCCCCCCAGAGCATAATCTCTCATCTTCCATTGGCCAGTTGCCGGCCAATATGAGCCAAGAAATGTTGCTGGGGGCAGGGGCAGTGTGGGAAGCCTTCACCCTCCTCCCTCGCATGCCCAAGCAGAGCCATGCAGAGCAGCAAGCGGCCCGCAACAGACAATCTGCCTAAGGTTTCTGCAGAGCTTTTGACTGGGAGGTGCCTAGCTAAGTGCCTCCCAGACAGAGCCTACCTCTGGCATCCCACCTTCTCTGTCTCCTCTGACTACCTGCCCCAGGCTACCACCCAAACCCTCTGTACCTCTTTTCCCCCTTCTCCCAGGTCACAACTCCCTCCTAGCTCCTGCACCCCTTCTTACATGCCTTCCACAGGCCAGAATGATCTCCTGAACCCATACTCCCTCCCTGAACCTGCACCCCATTCCCCTGCCCCATTCCACCTAAACCCTCTGCATCCTTTCACCCAGGTCACAACTCCCTTACAGACCTTGCACCCCCTCCTAGAGACCCTTCCCCTGGCCAGAATCCTTTCCTGCACCCTTACCCCCTCCTGGACTGTGCACCGCAAGTCCCTCCCCCAGATCACAGCCCTCTCCTTCACCCAAACTCCTTCTCAGTCCCCTACCCCAAGGTCACTTCTGCACCCAGCTTCCATCCCAGACTGCACACCCCCTCCATAGAAGTGCAGCCTTTGACCACTTACCAAAATCTTGGAGTGGCATCCCCATGAAAAATTACTGCCCATCCCAGCTCTAGCAATTACTCATCACGTTGACAGTGGAGGCAGAGAAGGAGAAACAGAGACAGGGTCACTAGGCTGCGGAGCCTAAATCAAGGGACGCTTAGCACCTTGACTTATTATGACCCAGTCTGTTTCGGGGGAGGGGGGGCGGGAAGAGAGGGGGGCTGCTGCTCAGCAAACCAAAAGTAGCACTGGTGTGGCTCACTATATATTACCATGCTGACATGAACCCTTCAGTTCTTTCTTGACGGCTACTCCAACGGAGGGGAAGAAGGGCAAGTATGAAATATATGGGTATGTCTACACTACCCCGCTAGTTCGAACTAGCGGGGTAATGTAGGCATACCGCACGTGCAAATGAAGCCCGGGATTTGAATTTCCCGGGCTTCATTTGCATAAGCCGGCCGGCGCCATTTTTAAATGCCGGCTTGTTCGAACTCCGTGCCGCGCGGCTACACGCGGCACGGGCTAGATAGTTCGGAATGGCTAGTTCGAACTATCTAGCCCATGCCGCGTGTAGCCGCGCGGCACGGGGTTCGAACAAGCCGGCATTTAAAATGGCGCCGGCCGGCTTATGCAAATGAAGCCCGGGAAATTCAAATCCCGGGCTTCATTTGCAAGTGCGGTATGCCTACATTACCACCCTATTTCGAACTAGGGTGGTAGTGTAGACATACCCATATATGAGCAATACATCTCAAAGAACAGTTACAAAAAAATGAGTAATCAATTATTCTTGGAGTGCTTGCTCATATCTATTCCAATTAGGTGATTCACAAGATTTACCCGGGCGGATGAGAGTTAACAAGTTGCTGACTTGAATACAGCAATGCGAAACTCTGCATCTTGTCTAGATTGTTGCATAATGGTATAGTATGATGTGAAGGTCTGAATGAAGGACAACGTCACAGCTCTACACATCTTCTGGAGAGGCACACGTGCCAGGAAAGCAGTCAAGATGGTTGAATGATCGGCATAGAATTCATTGTGTTCTGAAAGTTCTTAACCCTATGCAGGAAAGAGTTAGTTTGCTCTGCACAGTTCCATCCTCCCATCCAACAGAATAGTTTGTTGGACTTGTGCCTGGACCCAGACATAGTGACCTCAAAGGAAATAATACAGGCCACCAAGTCAACCACATCCAGAGATGCCTGGAAAGTGGTCCAGGACACTGCTTTTCCATCCTTAACCAGAGCAGCAAACTCTTCCTGCAATTGCTGGAGAAACAGGTCCTTGAATTTGAGAAGAGAGGCCCAAGAGTTATAATCATATCTACTTAGTTCAGCTTGTTGGTTTGCTGAATAGCAGGCCCCCCATCGACTAGACCATGGTTTGGAATAAGTCAAGGTGCTTAATGTCTCCTGATTTAGGCTCTGTAGCCTGGTGACCTTGTCTCTGCTTTTCCATTATGGCCTCTACTCACAAGAGAGCACAGCAGAGGATGGGTGAACAAGTATTCCAGGTCCTTGATGGAAACAGTATTTTCTCTCACTGTTTTTTTCCTGTGGAGGAGGCAGAGCCCGGGGACTGCCAGATGATTTATGCCTAGGACTGGATGGTCTTTATGATGGAGAGCACCACAAAGGAAGGGCCCTCAGGATCCAGGATATCAACCACAAAGTTGTCCTGCTCAACTACCCTTTCCACCTGCAGGATAAGGCTAAATGCAATCTTGTATAGAAGGTCCTAGAATGTGCTGCAGTACATCAATGGCGGGTCCGTGATGAATGTGCTGCCATCGTCTTGTCCAGGGAGGATGAGGAGAAAGACAAAGGCTGGGACCAGATCCTGAGTACTCCCTGGTGGTGGTAAAGTGGGCTTAGAGTGCCCTACTGTGTTATGGGTGGGGGTGAAACAAGTGGCACCATGTCCTGTGGCGGCAGGCAGCTGACTGTTGCTTCTGGAGCTCATGACTCAGAGGGGGCCAGTACAGGCCCATTGGTAGCGTGCCCTGGGCTTAATGGAATGCCCATAACACCACAAATAGCCACTGTGGCAACCACTGAGGAGCTCCCAGGTCTCTAGGTAGACAAGGGGCCACAGGCATTGACTAACCTGCAGTCCCCAAGGGAGATAAGGGGCACCCAGAACAGGAGGACCCTGATGGGGCTGCACCAGTCGGGGGGAATGTTCAGTGATGCAGAACATTCTCCACAGAGAATAAATTTACGGAAAAAAAAGCCTCAAAGCAAAACAATAATAAAAGAAAGATACTATATGAATTAACAGACATTTGACAATTTCCTTCCTACCTCAGAATGAAATTGTTGTCTGAGTTATCGGATTTCACAATAGTACTATGGTCTCCATGCTTACCTCCAGGTCTGTGAAAAGCCCTTGGTTGTTCTGAAGTATGGCATACATGCAATGTGCAACTGTAATCGCATGTTTCCAGTTGTGATAGGGCACACGGCGATAGTTCTTCTTTACAGACATAATAAAACGACATAGCTTTTCAAGTTCAAAGCTTCAAAGGAAAAAAATTGGTGAGAGAAAAAAACAGGATAGGAAAAATGACAATAATTCTAATTCACTCAGATGTAACTCACTTTTTATAACAAACAATATATGGCTTGGTTCCCTTTCTAAGATCTGTTAGAATTATGCAACAGTTTGGTTCCAACAGTCTTAGGGAACATATCCACAAAGGCAGTCTGTTTTCAGTCTGTCATGTTCTCATGTAGTCAGTCTTCCCAAATAGCTCCCAGGGTTCGTTTTTATAAAACCCTTAGTATCCTTGACTGTGATTTTCTTAAACAGGTATCTTCTGCAAACTGGAAAATATTAATAACCTCAAGAGAAATTAGGATCTTAAAGTAGGCTATGGTTGGCAGCAAGCAACAATTACTACTCTTTTTTTTTATATACTTTTTTGTATTACTATTACTCCATTCCAATTTTTGGAGTACGTAGTGGCTAAAAATAATTTCATTGGCTATTTTATTGGATTATTTTCATTCTAAAAATAATTGAGGTCTTCTCATTATAATCTATGTCTCAATCCATATAGTTTGAGGGGCTATTTTATTTAAGGAAAGCTATTTTAAGGCCAGTTACCTATCATGTGAACTTGAAATAGCCTGGTGGTCAAAAGAAAGTGGAAGAGGGAAGAGCAGTAAAAAGGACAGCTAAATCAGAATGATGTGATAAGACATAAGCATGCAGCATTACGAATATCTACCAGCTGTGTTCCCTGTAAGCTGAACGGCTGCAGAGGAGAGATTTACATGCCATTCAACTGATTAACAGAGTTGCACAACTGGTAGAATGTGTTCTGGTGCCCATCCCTACACCTTGCTCTGTTCTGCAGCTGCTCCCGGGGAAAATCAGCTCTTGGCAGCCAATCAGTTACTTGATGAGCAGCTTCATCAGCTGTTTCCAGGTGCTGCAGCCCTTTTTGCTCCCCTGTCTGCAGCCCTGCTGGTAGGGTCCAGTAGTGCTGCTGGGAAGGAGCAAACACGCATCTTCCCAGGGGCCCAGCAACTGAAAAGGGCCTGGGGGCTCCTGGCTGCCACTGCTGCGGCAGCAGTGACTGGGAGCCCCAGACCCATCAAATCATCTTCAGAGCCTTGTGGACAGCTGCTCCCAGATTCCACCACTGTCACACAGCACACAGGGGAGGCGTGAGCCCTTTCAACTACTTCTATTTAAAAGCCAACCCCTTTCCGAACAAGGCCCCATCCATTGTGGGGCAGCCTGCAACCACTTCAAAAAATTTTGAAGTGGTCCCAGTTCAAAAATTATTGCCCATACCAAGACTCGATCATCCCATTTTTGTTAGTATGAATTGACTATCTGACCTTATCTGGGTGAGTTCTCTTCAGTTCTGTTGCTGTTTATACAGTGGCAGGATGAATGATCTGGGTTTACAGCTAAATAGCTCTGATCTATCATATACATATTTAAACTAATTTACTATAAGAAGTTATTTAGACAGAAAAACATGGTTTTATGGTTGCACGCTGAGCATGCTTATTATTTACAGAACTTTAGCCTTACATCAGAAAAAACTAGAGGCATATTGTCTTTCAAGAAATCTTTAGTGATTTTATTCTCTTTTTTAAATTCCAGAGGCTTCATTCAGACATTTTCAAACATTTGTTAAACATACTGTTTGAAACAGGATATTCCTCTGAATACATATATTACAACGTTCACTTCAAATACATGTTCATGCCTGCTTATTTTCAGAAACTACCGAAAGACAGGTAAATCACCACCAAAAGCAAGATCAGAGACAGGATGCCACAGCCTAGAATGTAACTACTCCTCCACTGCTGCACTCCTGATGGAGAAGAGCAGTATATTAATTCTCACTGGGAGCAAGCTAGGAATTGTCACTAGGAGTTTAAGTGCTCTATTTAGGAAGAGTAATTGCTCATCCATTTTGCAGCATGGAGGAAGAAGGGAACAGGTAATGAGTGGGTTAGAACTGGGGCCAGAAGAGCTATTGTTGTCTTCTTTTCCTGTCCACTACTGTTGAAATCTATATATGGTTCTAATCGATAACATCTTTCTAGAGACTATTTCAATAATATTTTAAATTAGTTCAGCAGCTATATCTTGAAATCTTGTGTGGCTGTATTTTAGGTCTACTTTATTATATAAAACTCCTGAAATGCTGTCATGGTCCCTCTGACTGAGGAGAAGATTATGTATCTTCACTAAGATCCAAGCAAAGCTGCAGTTTACTCAAAGGGCCACTGTTCCCTCACTTGGAACTGAGCTCACTGACACCAAGACATGCTCAGACCTACTAGCTGAGGACCAAAAACTGAGCCTGGAAATTCAATTTGCTTACTAGGTTCCTATGTAGACAAGGGTATAGTAAGTTACTAAAAAAATTCCAAGCGTTTGAAGAGTTCAGTCATCACCATCATCGTCGTCACAGAAGCAAAATAATACTTATGTAAAATACTTGTAATTCATACCAGGTTGTGCCACAGGACTGGTGGACCATGTAGACAAAAATGGCTGGCCAGACATCCTCGTAGGGACTAATATCAAAGTGGTATCTGACATAAAAAATATTTAAGTTCAGCAGCAGCAAATATCCTTTCATTCTTATTATAATTAGGCTACAAACTTCTAGATGGCATGCTTACTTGACAGAATAGTCTAGTTATTGAACATACACACTATATTGACTTTGTGGACCAGTTTAGTTCCACTCACTTCAATGGAGCTTTGCGGATTTACATCAGCTAAGACCTTTGCTTTCTTGAATTAGGATAACGAGGGGAATTTTAATGTCATTCAAAAGTACTGAAACTCAAATTAATCATTCACCATAAAAAGCTATAAGGGTAGCTCATATATAATGATACAGTCAACAGCATATTCAGAGCTGGTTGAAATCAATTACAGGAAGTCTTTGGATTGTGTTCCCAAAGTTTGTTTGTAAGTCTATTGTTTGGAACTCAGAATGCATTTTCCCATAGAAAAAAACTTATAAATGGTGGTTAGGTTCCCAGGTAAACCCACAAAAGCCTATTTAATCCATAATGTAGCTGAAATGCTATATATTTGTAATGAAAAATCATAGAAAACAATACTTTTGCAATTCCACTAATTAAACAAAACAGAAAAACAATAAAATTAACTAAGAAATAAATTCTTATTTAACCTTGAATGCTGGTGCTCGCAGAAAGGCAGGTTTAATTAGAGGAGGATAAGGAGGTAGGTGAAGATTTTGAAGGGAATTTATAGGCATCCCCAGGCCGTCCAGCCCCCTTGTGGGCTCAGCAGCATCTCCTGTAGCCTCCAATTCTGCCGCTTGCCTTCCCCCGTTGGCTCAGCACCAGCTCTGGCTGCCCCCTGCATCATCCCCAAGCCAGCCCCACAGGATGGGCAGGGCCCAACCATGCTCAACAGGAGACAGCACATGGTGCAAGAGTGGGTACGAGGACTCTAGAGAAGCAGGGGGCAGTCAGACAGATGACAGGAGAGAAGCGGCACTTTGAAGGGGAAATTGCCGCTTCTGGCTATGTGGCTTCCCCCTCCTCTTCTGGAGTCCTCTCTCCCATGTTCGTGCCATTCGCCACCACCTGCACACTTTGCCTGCTCTCCTGAGGCTGCAGGTAAGCTTTTGTTCATATGTGCAGATGTTCGTAAGTTGGATGTTTGTAACTTACAGAGTGGCTGTATTTCTTTCCAGAACTGGATGCAACTTCCACCAGGTTTCATTTTTGTAGAAAAAAATTCAGCTTTTACTATTTAATAGAAACTAAAATTTGACATTATTTTTATGCTTCGTTAGTCGAAGCTTTTTTCCCCTCGTATCCAAGTTCACAGCCTTATGTGGGAGGCCAGCACAGCACAGCTGCTTGTCCTTCGATTATTAATTAACCCCTTTCATTGCACCTGCTGTGCTGCAGGGTTCTATTTACTTTCCATTGAATCCATCTAAATGTTAGCAAGTCTGTGACACACTGAACAACACAGCAGGTGTGTCAGATTTAAAGGTAGCTAAATTGTTTGGAAAATGATTAGATATGTTCCAATTCGAAAACAATAGGGGTCTGTGTTTCAAAAAAGAAAGCCTGCCCATATTTACAAGTACAAATTGTTTTGGTGATGAGGTAGATTATATATATTATCATTCAAGAAAGCATTAGAAATTATACTTCAAAGAACTATCCTACATTAAAAGCTTATTCCTGAAAGTTGTGGAGCACTTTATCCTCCAACAAGCAAAATACTTAAGTACACGTTCAATTTTAATCATAAGTAGTCCCATTTAAACTTAATCACATTCATGCATGCTTTGCCGGACTGGTGCTCAGAGTGCTCAATGCTTTTCATCAGTGAGCTTTTGTATTTCCATCTTTTTTGTGGTTTACTTTTTATATGATTAGAAAGTCAGGCCTCCCTTACTTGGTTTCTCCTGGAAGGTTCATTTGTTACAGGAGAACTGGTAGGGTTAGGATAGTGGAGATCCCATGCAAATAAAGGCTATTTAATAGATTTTTTTTCTCTACATTTCTTGATGCTGATTTTTGTCATAGTACAAAATATATAGTTTTTTACACGTGTGTAACATAGATGCAAAATGTTTTCACTGATTAATAACATTTTACATCTGTCCTACACTTACTTTGTACAGATATTACAAGGTGCCAGGCAATTAAAAATTAATTCCTATAGTTTTAGGATGCCATCTTTGGTAACAATTTCCACAAATCCTCCGTTCTATGTGGAAAATTTAACTTTATGAGTAAAAGGTTATAGCTGCTGCTAAAATGACACAAACTCACAGTTCAATTTCTTTGCAGATGTGGGTAGCGAGTGTGCAGTGCATGAGATTTTGCCATTCTTCTGCTGTGCAAACACTGTGATAGGACAGCTTCTCCATCGTTACACGATAAATACACTCTGAATGGCGAATTCTGTGGTACATCTGAAAGAACAATTGTTATTCATTAACACTGGATTTTAGTTATGAAGATAAAGCCTTTTCCCCTCAAGATAAAACATTTATTCTTAATAATACTTACATTTCCAAAACTGACTAGTTATTTTGGATGCCTAACTTGACACATAGTAGCCAGACTTTATGAAACTGGAAACGCAGCACTCCTGAAAATCTGTTCCTTTCCTTTTAAGGTGTCTTAAGTTGGACACTCAAAAGGTAGCAACTTTGTAAAACCTGTTTCCATGCCCTTGCTACTCCGTGATGTGGGTAGAAACTGTAAAACTGGTAATGGGTCACACTGCACACTTTTGCACCACTGCTCTAGCCAAATTACAATTTGGCCCAAAAGAACTAATTTAAACAACATTTCTATGCATTTTAATCTTCCACTGAGTTTTTCAAGAAATGTACTTGCCCAGTTGCTCCAGAGACAGAATTTTTCAGAGTAGAGAGTGAAGAAATTACTACTCAGTGCCAGGGAAAAACAAGTTCAATATACATTAAAAGACTACAGTTCAACTACATTAGGCATGGTGTGGTTTGTAAACGAGTAAAGAGAATTATGTTTCATTTTAAGAAAATCCCCAAGAGAAATATGCCTTAAGGGTTCATTCTCCAACACAGTAGACCCATGCCCAACAGATGAACTTGTATGGATGTGATTCTGATTTCCATTAAGGGCATTTTATACCTCTCTTGTCATATAGAGTGGATGTAAATATAATTTACTTCTCTAGACTGACAGAGTGATGTAAAAGAGGACTTATGAGACCCTGGCCTGAGTACATCATCGTATAATATTATTTTTCAATAAAATGTGTTGAATTCCTTTTTATAATTGGATTTTTATACCTATATAGTAAGGACTGTAAAATTGTTTGCACTTTTTAACTAAACATTATCTTTAAAAAAAAAAGATTGACTCTCATAAATAATGGTATCACACTCATTTTGATTTATGGGCAGTTAAGTGAGGAAAGTCCAGGGTGTTCAAATAAACACACACTTAAATGGTCTAGTCAGACACCCTCCACGCTTGATATATGAGTACACTCCCTCCACCATGCAGTTAATGGTGTAAAATACGAATTATGCACCAGTATAAATGAATTAGGCTCATGCACCATATCTGAACAGAGTTAAGAGATGTTCTATATACTTTGACTGGAGTATATTGTTTTACGGGTAACTGTATGTAACAGATATACATCTTGATCAATTATTTCAGAAGAAATCAACTGAATCCTTATCATGAAAGAAATAACATATTACAGATGCCCCTCTTGCTCAACAAAACAGAATTCTTAATCAGTTTTAACGATTTGTAAAATGAAGTTGAATTGATCCAATCCCAAGGTAATCCTAATTCTATATGTTATAATCAATAGCTGACAGAACTATTTTCTTTCTACTTAATGTTTATCTTATAGGGAATAAAACTTACATTAGCACAGTGTAAGGCTAAAGCACAAAAGACTGCAAACATTTTAAAGTTGTTCTCATCGGTTTTAGAGAAGGCACTTCCACTTATTTTGTTCACCATCTGCACAACGCCTATCACGCTCCCTCGGCTCACAATAGGCATGCACAGAATGTTCCTGGTTGTGTAGCCTGTGTAGAGGTCAACTTCTCTGGAGAGTTAGGGAAGAGAAAGAGGACAGTAATTAATGGCCACCCCTTTTCCCATGGAAATGTCATTTCAGATAAACACAGGATTCATTAATCTACCTCTCAATTGCATGCATCAATTTTTAGAACAGACTATATAGTCTAATGCCAATTTTAAAATGAACAAAAAAACAAACTTGAGTTAAGTTTATTAATGATATAGCTATCAATAGTCCATCCAGCTTTGCAACCTTCCATCTAGAACAAAATAATTAACACATCCTCAAGTACTTGGTATAAAAGAATCAAAATAATTTTAATAGAATACAGTCACAGGATCAGGGATCATGCTATGAAAATAAAAATTCAGTAATAAAAGTATCTCTTTATCAGGACACCTTAATTTCATGAAAACATACTCTGAATTGATGATAATGTCTCCAGAATTTGAATTGAACATTAAATAAAAAGCTATTTTGTTTTCTCCTGTTATAGATTTTACTAAAGAATGTCTTACCTGTTAAAGCGTGGATCTGCATAGGCATCAGGAATATTAAGGACTTCACCTGTTCTTGCTACCTGACCCGCTATTCCTTTCTCAATAGAAAATCTGCACATATTAAAGAGACATGTTGATCAGCATATGAACAATTTGAATAAATATGTTTTTGACTGCAATCTACCCTGAACATACAAATGTACATTCAGCCCAAACCAGTTTAATTTGTTGTTTGTGAGGATAAAATTCTTGAAAGACAAAAAGGAACTGCAATGAAGAATGAAAGTATTGACTGAAGATATTTTATAGGGATATATTGCTCAAAAAGGGTCCCATACTATGGTCAGTTAATTCAAAAAGGATTGCTGTCCATAATAAGATTAAAAATAATTTCTAATTTGTGTTCAGAACATCTATTTACATTTTTGCAGTCTGATGACTTGTATTTAAGTTTACTGTACAATTCCTCATTTGCATCTCTAATATTCCCACTATTTTATGAACAATTCTCATATAAATTTGGCAAAAAAGTCTGGAATGAATAAGAGAAAATATGAAGGATGCAATTGATGTGCACTTCACCTACGGTAAGTCTATACTAGCCCCCTAGTTCGAACTACGGAGGCTAATGAGGGCGACCAAAATTGGATTTAAATATCTCACACTTCATTAGCATGTTCCCGGGTGGTCACCATTTTTGGAAATTGACTAGCCCGGAATAACTGCCCGCAATTATTCCGGGCTAGTCAATTTCCAAAAATGGTGACCACCCGGGAACATGCTAATGAAGTGTGAGATATTTAAATCCAGCACTTCATTTGCAATTTTGGTCACCCTCATTAGCCTCCCTAGTTTGAACTAGGGGGCTAGTGTAGACATACCCCTACAGACCTTAAAATGGATGGATGTATTTCATTTTATAGAAAGTTAAGATGTAATAATACTGGATTAATCTTGTAGACCTTCCACAATGAAATCAAATACATGAAACATACTGAAGTTTAATCATAGATATCTTGCAGCCAATATTATTACAATAAAATAATGTTGATCATTCTTCAATATAACACACTCTTGGTTTCAATAATCCAAAGGAGGCATAGGTGAGAATGAGGAGACTCTCAAAAGTGTTACTGTATATAGGTAAACCTTAGCTCCATTGAAGTCAATGGTAAAATTCTCATTGACTTCAATAAGGCCAAGATTTACTCAGTACAGTAGAATTTGAGAGCTATTAAACACTAGTTACAAACTGACAAACCCACTAAGAATGGATGTGCATGTAAAATTTACACAATAATGAGGAGTCTAAAGCATGCAGATGCTCAATTGGTTTTCAAAATAGTCAGAGCCTGGTATAACCTTCCATATCTGTGCAAAGCTTAGAAATGACCAATTCAACTGTACTTTCAAATCACAAGTATTCAAGTCAGAACAAAGTCCAGATTTATCATATCAGGTGAGGCAAGGAGAAACTAAAATTGCCTTCCTTAAAAGGTCTAAACAGATAAGTTACCAGCAATGCCTGATTCACCAACCAGAATTACCCACTATAATTTCTCTAGTTTGAATGTGTGTGAGAGAATATCTCACAGTTCGATTGAGCTTGAGAATTCCAATAAAAGTGTTGTACTTGCCGAACTGAGAGAAAGGGGTTTAAATTTAACACCTGCTCCTTTACCTACCTTGGAGCACCAGTGTTTTTTTCCAACATGATTTCCAAAAGGACCGCCTCCGGAAGACGGCATTTCCAGGATTGACGTTATAGCTTCAGAGACGTTGTTTCGATGGCACTGCAATGTCATTCCCAGAAGTACTACCTTCTGGAGGCGGGTCCTGGTGGGAATGATATCACAGTATGACAAGTATTGTCAGAGTAGGCACCTGCAAGTAGGCACAGACACTGGGTAACAAAATACCTGCACATCGCTAATGAGAATTAAACTCTTTTCTTTCTGTTGCTCTTACCTTATTTCTTTGGTCTTCTTGAAGACGGGTTTTCCTTCCTTTTCCTCTCCAATATCAAAAAGGTCTGAATACAGCTCTTTGTTCTTGTGATCAACCTGGAAGAGTGCACAGCGGTCTGCATTCACCAGGTTTTTTGCATATATCTACAGACAGAAAACAAAACTAGGATTAATCCTCATGAGGTTAAGGTAACTTTAGTCACTAATCTGTTAATGAAGGAAAGCCTTTTGAATGTGAAAGTTCTTCCAACTTCTCCAGTAGAGAGCATTTTCCAGAAATTTCCGTAACTACAACAATTTAGGCTAAAACTTGACATGCAAGATAATGTTTTTGTTTTATTTACATACATAATGATGTATTTAAAACAAACTGTCATATACAATCTTAACATTTCCTTTTTAAAATGTCATTACAGCTAGTTGCACTTATCAAAATGTGCTTTGAGGCCAAAGAAAGAAGTATAGCTACATCCTCCTTGAAAAATTGAGCTTGATGAGATTTGTCAGACATTTCTTTCCTCCTTTCTTATACCATAAGACAAGTCTTTCTTACATCCTTTATTTTATTTATAATTTATCATTAACAGAATTTATTATATTGAGGTAGCATTTGGATGCCTCAGTCAGGTTGGAAACCCTCTGTAAGGCACTTTAAAGGCATATAATAAATGACAGTCTTTTCCCCCAAAACAGGGAGACTTCAGACTCTTTGGGGTCCAGAGAATCTTTTCGAGATTAAAATGCTCCACATTATTAACATATTGTAATTTTCAAACAAATATTTAACTCCTAAAATGCTTATCTGAGTTATTTCTGTATTATACAAGAGCAAGAAAATCCTGGTATTAAGAGCTAACCCTTGAGTATATGAAGTGTAATCGCTCTTGCGTGTGTGATATTGGCACTAGTAAAGGCACAGTTTAGCCCCAAATGAACCTAACTTTTCAACTGCAAAAGCCTTGAAAAATAACTATGTACTTTTGGTTGACTTAAGTACATGTCATTTTCTACGAGTTGTGCAATATCCAAGCCTACAGTGTGACCTAGAAACACAGCAAAAATCTCATCTCTGAATTCTTCCTCTAACATCAAACAAGAACAGATTAAATGCTTTCAGTACACCAATATAAGGGGGATGGTGTCACTTGTTAGAAAATTAGTTTGTAGCAAAAAACAAAAACAAACAAAAACAACCCACACCTGGGAGAGAGCAATATATACAGAGACAAAAGGAGGCTTTTACAGTATTTTTCAACTGTATTGTTTAGCATATAAATTGAACCTCTCTAATCTGGCACTCTCTGGTCCAGCAACATCCGTGGTCTGGCATGATTTTAGTTAGCTGGATGTCCATTTATCTTGGGTGTGGCCAAGTTTCCTATGGTCCCATAAAGTTTGTTACAGCCACCAGTCCTGGCTCTCAGTTTTCTGTGCTGTTATTTAGCTCTAATTTACTCCTAAATGTCTTTTTTAAGAGCCCAAATAAGCATGGAAGTGTTGGTAGTGCTGTTAGAAAATATCAACCTCCTGTGGTTAGGCAAATTCTCTGGTTTGATACTGGTCAGGTCCCAAGAGTGCCGGGCTAGAGAGGTTCAATCTGTAATAGTCATTTTGTTATGAATTCACAGGATTTAATGTTACTATAAATATTACATAAATTATAATCTGACTTCTGAAAATATAGCTCACAAAAGCCTATGTACCCTTCTCCTTAAACTATTAATATAAAAGTTTGCAAGCTTCTTCAGAATACACATAAGCATGTGAGATCCATTAATAACAATCCCAACCAAGTTATTAAAAGGATGTAAAATGTAACATTAAAATTGGACTTTGGGAAAAAATTCCAAAATTGAATGATCTTAATCATGCTGGACAAAACACATCTCATTCTTTTTTTTCCCTCATTTGCTTTGCCATTGTGAGGCATACCCTTAGATATGTTCATTTACCAAATACAAATGACCCAAAACTTAATCTTAGATTGTAAGAGCCCTACACCTGCATACATGAATTTTGTTAAATATCCTTTGTGTGTGAGCGCATGTATGTTAGATATACACTCAAGAATGCTAGGATTCTGAGGTTAGCATAAGTTTCTAAAGAAGCAAAAGTAGCATTTTTGTTGCAGATAATAGATATAAATATACTGTGTCAGATTCTCATCTGTTTCAACGTGTACAGGACTCAGCCTGGGCTGCAAAGAATCTCTGTGGCTCCCTAATTCTGTGTCAACTGCTTGTAGCACATAAGGTTCTGACTACCAGCCAGACACTGCTGGAGCATAGCAGTCCTGTCATACTTTCTATAACCTACCTATTACGCTACGACCTGCAGCTACACCAGCTGAAGCTCCCCTTATGCTAGAAAAATCCACAGTTAGAGAGATCCAGTTATGTTCTGGCCCATTGGTGCCACCAAAGTGGTGCAAGCAGAGCAGATGGAAGGCTAGGAGTCATGCCCAAACCATTCCCATTATTCCTCTGTTTATTCAAACCAGAGGAACTAATTTAAACCATTTTGGCAATCCCTGGGATTACATTAAGGGAGGTTTCCCTATGTACCTTCTGAAACAAGTGCTTTATAAAACATTCATATTTTAAAACAGATCATAAGGCATTGTGTTCCAGGATGTTCAACTCCTGAAAGATGATGTAATTTATCTTATGTCACAGCCTATTTTTGTCAGACTTGTTGGCTTCAAATGCTACTCTCTGTGGAGCAGATGCCTAACATGTTTGACAAAGCCTTTCTACACTAGATCACTAGCTCAAATTCAATCCATCTTAACAAACTTTTTAGAAAATTAGTTTGTAGCAAAAAACAAAAACAAAGACAACCCACACCTGGGAGAGAGCAATATATACAGAGACAAAAGAAGGCTTTTATAATATTTTTCAACTGTATTGTTTAGCATACAAATTGAACCTCTCTAATCTGGCACTCTCTGGTCCGGCAACATCCGTAGAAATGATATCATCACAAAAGGTAATCTTGTAAGTAGAGTAATAGGGAGGCCAGGGGAACAACTATCATCTCACCACTTATGGCAGAGCCTCCAGAATAGTACTTCAACACATTAATGAAGCAGTATGTATGGGGAGACTTGCAGTCTTTCTCTCCATGCTGCACCAATTCTGTGTCCACAATGCATAGTCAACCTGTGAAACTCCTTGACAGAGGATGTTGTGAAGGCCAAGACTATCATAAGGTTCAAATAAGATCTAGGTAACTTCATGGAAGATAGGTCAATTAATGGCTATTAGCCAAAATGGGCACTTATGGTGTGCCTAGTCTTTGTTTGTCAGGGCTTCGATTGAGCACAGGAGATGGATCACTTGATGATTACCAGTTCTGTTCATTTCCTCAGGGGAACCTGGCAATGGTTACTGTCAGAAGACAGGATATTGGGCTAATGGACTTTTGGTCTGACCTTGTATGGCCATTCTTATGTGCTCCCAAGCAGGTACTTTTTACTGCACTGAATTCACTAAGAAATAAAAATAAGAAAGAATCAAAGATATAAAGACAAACAAGCAGAGAAATACTGCTTCTTAGTGCAAGAATCATCAAAACCTTGCATTGTAATCTCCAGGGGGTGGACTGGGGCGAGGAGATGGATTCTTGCTGTTCTCTAACTCTAAGAGATCAGGTTGATATAATGGGTTTCCAGTAGAATTGCAGTGGATGTACAAACTAACAGATCTAGCCTTGTCTTTCTGCTAGAGCCAGAAGAATACAGTTGGCACAGACTTCAAAGGAAATTAAATGTGAAGCATCAATACAGGTTGTACAGAAGAATGCTGGGAGAGCAGGTGTTGTAAGGAAGATGAAAGAATAAGCATATTGCATTGTCATGTGTGTGTTCTACTGGTGACTGTTCACAAAGAAGAATAACATCATCTGTCATTAAGTGTAACACATTATCACAGTTCTTTTAAATGTTAAACAATGTGAAGCAATTTATGTAAATAACAGACAAAGCTGATGAAACAGAGGAATGTTTCTTGTGCACTGAAGAGAGCAATTCTTATCTGTGTAGTAACTAGACTTACACTGAAGACTGCAAAATATTTCTCATGAATACAAATTCAAAGTTCTAATCAAATTTGCTTTGACATGGTTTGCACTGTTGTGCTGCTTTACCATGATTATTTTAGCTAAAAAGTTAATTGATAAGATTGGGGCAAACATTGGGAATATTGTTGCTGTGATTTTTAAATCTGAATGCAAGCACTCATCAGAAAATTGACTCTTATATACACTCATTCAATCAGGGACAAGAACCACATTACTCAACATGTTTGTCCAAAACTAAACACCTCCACTCGCATTCAATTTATTTGAAGATATTGTTTCATGAATAATTCTGAATAATGAACACATTCAAGAAAATTGTGCTCAGTTTATGAACTCATAGTGAAATCCATTGACTAAATAATCTGTTAGTTATTACTATGCAACCAGCTTTAATTGCTGCCATAATGTTCTGTGACTGACTGTGCCACTCTGTAGTTGTGAAATTTAAATCGGTTTATGTCCTAATTGGGTGGTAACAACTCTCTTTTGTAGATATCACATCATTGGATAATCTATCTATGGGTAATGCTGGCCATTTCCACATGGCTTCACGCAGACAATGCTCTTCAATCTGAAGGGCTTTTTTGGTGAGTTTTTTGAGGAGTGTGTTGCAATATGTGGTGATTTGAAAGTAGAAAATCTATCAGATAAACAAGTTAAATTGTTAAGAAAAATTGGTGCCTTTCCTTATACAAATATACCACGTATCTAGCATATCTGAGATCAACATTTAGTTCACAGACTCCATAGCTCAGTACTTACGAAACTGTGAAGTTTTTGCAATAAATAAAACCAAGGGGACGACCCTTAACACTATTTCCTTATTGACCATTCTCAGAATTACTTCTCATATGAACTCATTAGAAACAGATTCTATGATTCAACGATTCTGCAATTTACTTCAATGAAAAAGAGACTGGGCAGACTAACAGACGTGATGTATGAATTTAAAGATGAAAGAAAGATAGCTTACCATTATATGTTCAAGTAGAGAATCTATTGCAACTATATTATCAAAATAGGTTCTGTAAAGAAGAGATACAAAATCAGTAAGTGATATTATTTAGATAGCGGCAGCAAAAGGATTTGGGCAGTTCCAGGACTAAATTCCTTTTAGATAAATGTACAACTCTGTTAAATCAAACACACACACACACACACACACACACACACACACACACACACACACACCCCGCCTACCACTTCAGGTCTGCCTTTAACAAAACACTTCAGCACACCCTGCAGTGCTTTGCTGTCGTCTTTCAGAGCAAATATTCTTTACACACACACTCGCTCTCTTGCCCTAAAATGCTTTAACATATGCATTATTTAATTGCTTACAAATATACTTCATTAAATTATGTATTTGCTTACTTACTAAACTACTTTTACTAATGGAGGTAAAAACCTTGAAAACATTTAAATCAATGTTCTTTATTAACCCAGATATAGCATAGTATGTCTGGAGAGAAAAACTGACCTTGTGGTTGCAAAACAAGAAGAAGAACTGATCTCTCACTCTTACTATGAAATGAGACTATCCAAGGACAGTCAAAAGTATTGAAAGATAACGGTCAAACTTATTAGTTAAAAAAGCCTAAATCTTCCACATACCCAGACTTCATAAATCTTGGATTACAACATTCCTAAAGACAGAAAAAGACATTATCCCATGGTCTTGAGCACACACACAGCTCCCTTTGTGTTGGGTCCAAGAGAAAGGAAATATGTAATAAATTAATTTTGAATTTCCAGTGAGTGAATGAAATGTGGGAGATGTGTATTCTGTACCCATTCTAAAACCTTAGAGAAAATATCCTGGGAGCACTGTCAACAATATGCTCAATAAACTGGAAACTCACTTGATATAAAATACAAAGTACAGACCATTTTTAAAGACAATTCTGTTATTTTTTTACTAATATAAGCCTTTCACCTGGAACCACTTGTCACTACATTAGTTCCTAATTTTGTAGGTGAAATATATTTGTCTGCAGACAGCTGGTTCAGATGGAATTCCAAGATTACTTTAGGAGACTACATTCTAAATTTAAGAAATCCTTGACCTCATGGAAGACCATACATAGATGATCAGCCTTAAGAGCATCCAGCTTACTGAATCTTCTGCCTGAAGTGATTGCCACCAGAAAATCCATCTTCATCAAGAGATGTGTGAATAAGGGTGAAACTATGGTTTAAATGCAGTCTTCATCAGAGCCGCTAAAATGAGATTGAAGCCCCATGATGGGGTAGGTCTCAGTATCAAAGAAAAGGCTAAGCTAAGCCCTTTCAATAACTTTCCTTGGGCAAAGACCAAATGGCTGCCCACTAGAAGGTGAAAACTGCTAATTAATAGAAACAGTCACCACTTGTCCATGCAAGGAGCTGAGAAGATAGTCCTAATGTCTTTCAAGAGAAAAGCTACTCTAAAATAGTAGGGATCTCAAAAGTTTCTGGAGATATTCAACAATACTGGCCTCAGGTAGAGAATCCTTTCCATTTTGTGGTATAGTGTTTTCTTGTGGAATCTTTCCTACTATTGCTAAGGATTGTATTGCCACTGAAGATGCCTTTTCTATGTCTGTCATTTATCTAAACGGCATGTTGTTAGATGAAAGGATACTGGATTGTAGTGTTTGATTCTGCCTTCATCTTAAGTAGGTAGGTCTGGGAAGAGATGACTATGGACACACAGGCATGAGGCCATCTGGAGAATGCTCAGAAACCAGAACTATCTAAGCCACTTGGGAGTAATCAGGATAATCAGCTCTGGTTCGATCTTCTAAGAACTAAGGGGACCCCATCCCACCCAGCCTACTACCTAGCCACTCCATAGAAATTCCTGGCATAATCAGGATTCAAAAAACCCAAGACTTTACATGTCAAGTGCCTCTATTGCTTTAGTGATAGAAATGTAGCCGTGTTAGTCTGGGGTAGCTGAAGCAAAATGCAGGACAATGTAGCACTTTAAAGACTAACAAGATGGTTTATTAGATGATGAGCTTTTTGATCTGAGGAAGTGGGTCTGGCCCACAAAAGCTCATCATCTAATAAATCATCTTGTTAGTCTTTAAAGTGCTACACTGTCCTGTCTATTGCTTTAGGGAAACTCATATCCCCGCTAAGTGCAATATCTGCTGGTCCTTTTCAAGTAGAATTTCTCAGGTGCTTACAAGGAGCATGGTACCTGTTTTGTGGTACTAAGGGGCAAGAGTATCCCAAAACCAGAGCTGATCAATAATGGTGGGAGCATTCTCAGTACCAGAGAGGTTACTGAACAGGCTTATCTGTGGTGATAAATCCAAAGTTATGTATGCCACCTATAAAATGATGATGAAAGACCTGCTGATGCTGCCTGTAGTTGTCAATGATGTTGAATGGATGAATAGTTTTACCTATCTGTGTAGTCTGTTGACAATAAGAGGTTCTGTATCCAAAGATGTCACTCACTGAATTGGTCTTACATCACTGGCACTTCAGCAGAGACCTCTGTTTGAGAAACACCATGTTTGTGTAGCAACTAAGATACAAGTGTTCAATGTGGTAACGATGGACAAGTCTATTATGTAGAGATAAAACATGGCCATTAGAAAAGGTGAGGAAAGGACATCATCTAAACAGTTTTCAGTGTCAAAAGTTAAAGTCATAACATTTATTGGTTTGATTCTGTTACAATGGAGATTCTACTTAAAAGATCACAGCAAGTTGCACTCTGGCTGGATGTAAGGAGCCTGAGTCATCCCATACTGGATCTTATCAAAGGAAGAAGAGCTACAAAGGACTATTCAAGATGGAAGCTCATTCTGTGTGCTACCACAACATAGCCATGTGAAGCTACTGTTGTTGCCCTAGATAATAATTGGAATCCACACTGCACTACTGGGTACTCATATCAAACTGTTAGTTCTTATTCAAGTAATGGTTCCTAGGTATATGTGGTCCATATGCCTGACACTGGAAGATTTTTGGCTACTGATCCACACCTATTCCCTTTGCCTCCTCATGTTCTGAAATGAAGGCATAAGGAACAGTGGTGTGGATTCGATCATTTCTACTGTTCCTTTCTACTTACTACTTGTGGTCTGAGATGGCATCTCTTTAACTGTCCACAACTTTAGCTAGCTGGTTTCTAAAATTTGTAGGTAGTTTGAAATAGCTTGTAATACCTATAACATAGATAGTTTTTATAGCTAGTTTTATACAGTTTTCATGCCCATGGGCTGGAACCAGTTCACCAGGGCTAGCTCCTGGTGGGTCACTTCCACTGTATTCACCTGCGCCTCTATAGATACAGGCCCATGCTGCTCCCATTAGCCATGGATCACTGTTTCCGGCCAATGTGAGCTGCGGGAAACGGTGTCCTGGTCCACACTGCTTCACACAACTCACATTGCCTGGAAATGGCGATCTGTGGCCAACAGGAGATGCAGCCACCTGTATCTGCAAAGGTGCAGGTGAATACAGTGGCAGCCACCTGCCAGGGGCTAACGCTAGCAAACTGCCACCGTCTTATTGCCCACCCCTGCTGTAGACCCAGAGCAGAGTAAAAATCAACTCCGATTTGAAATTTGTACCTGAAATAAGAATAGCTGTTTAGAGTAAGATTTTCATTTAACAAGTCTCTTAAAGGATTAGAACTAGCTAACTAAGCATTTTTTATTCATTTTACTTCAGTAACTTACTTTGAGCTGACTATTTTCATTTGCAACCACTTACATTCTACTTTTTGTACGTAATAAGAACACTTATTATTAGGTCCAATGTAAATAATTGTTACCTGATGGGTGTGGAGGGTGGAGGAGGAAGCAACCATTATGCATATCTCTCTTTCATTGATAATGTAAGCTAACCTTATGAGCTTTCTCTTTGTAAATTTTTTCAAAGAGCAAGACAGATTTATATAGAGTCTTGATCCCTTTTGCTGATTGGTTTCCTGGGTGCTGAGCCCACTAGGGGTGTGTCTAGACTACATGTCTCCTTCGACGGAGGCATGTAGATTAGCGAGATCAGAAGAGGGAAATGAAGCCGCGATTAAAATAATCGCGGCTTCATTTAAATTTAAATGGCTGCCCCG